GTCTTCCTAGCATTTAAGAGACTGAGAGAGAGAGAGAGAGAGAGAGAGAGAGAGAGAGAGAGAAAGAGAAAGAGAGATAGTAGGTGAGAATGCTAAAGGAGGAAAAGAGAGAAGGAGATACTACGCAGAAACTAGCTGCTGCTGGCCAGAGGCGTATGGTTGTTTCTAAACCCACCTTATCTACCAGCCCCTATAATAAGCCGCGATTTGAGATCATATATCCCCTGCGCGTTTCCATCCGCGTACGTTCGCTCGCGAGAGCTCACACACATGTTCGAAAAGACGCATACTATACGTGTTCCGAACGAGATAAAGGGAGAGAGAGAGAGAGAGAGAGAGAGAGAACTACACGCTTATACATGCTTCGTCTCGTACCAACAAGGTTCGAACTCTCTCCATCTCTCTCTCTCTCTCTCTCTCTCTCTGTCTACCCACAATTCCCGAGCGCGTTATAGGCCACAGAGCGCTTGCAATTACAAGCTGGTCAACATATAATTATCCCCAATGACCATAAATTACCGGATTTTTATGCGCAACATTCTTAATTACCCTTTGAATTAACATCAATCAACCCCCTTAATTGCACGCTGTTGCTGCTGCTGCTGTTGCTGCTGCTGCCGTTGGTACGCCGATGATGCGTCTCCGACTATCATCCTCTTTCACCCTCCGCCACCATCACTATCTTCTCCTCCTCTCTTCCTCCTCCTCCTTCTCCTCCTCCTCCTCCTCCTCCTCCTCCTCTTTCTACTCCTCCTCTTCGTCGACGTCGTATGTCCTCGAAGCAAAATGATTCTGCTGGGATATAGCGATAATACGAAAACATAATCTCCCCCTGGGGGCTTGTGTGATGTGATATTGAAAAGAGAGGGTGATGAATAAGGTAAAAGAAATTCTCGAGGGCTTACATGGACTCTGACTTCAGACATATATAATTTTTTTCTTGCCAATCTCGATGAGAAATCTCGTCATGATATCCTTCTATTTCTTTCTATCCTCTTTTTTTTTCTTTTTTTTTTTTTTCATTTACCAACAAAGAAAGACTAGAAAAAAGTGTATCAGCGAGTGATATTTTCTTTAATTTGACAAAAATTTGCTTGGCATTATTTTATTCAATAATAAATGCCAGTTATGCTGGTTAAATCATCAATGTTTCTTAATTGCACTATTAACTTATTATCACAATGTAGACTATATTAGTCATCTTAATAATTATTATGGATTTCCAATGTATATATATATATATTTTTTTTTTCCTCTATGTTTAATAATGCTAACAATTTTAACTATATTACTTTTAATATTTCATTAATCATATATAATCGCAGATAATAACTTGTATAATTTTTTAAAAGGAGACATGCGAAGGAGCTCGTTATTATAAGCTTGATATCGAAGACAACTAGTCTAACCGTGCATAGAACCATAACGGGTTAATTACCGTCATCTCTTTTAAAACGTTCCACTGGCAATTATTAGTAGAGAAGACGCGTAGAATAAGAGAACGAAGGGGCAGTTGAAATTCATCTTTGTATATCGGGGTAACTAGGTATCCAACTTGATTTGGATTCTGAAACGTGTTTTCAAGAAATAGAAAAAGTCAATTCTAAACGGGAATATAAGAAAATAGAATAGGAGAAGTTGCGAGGAGCTTAATGATTCGTTGGGAAAAAAAAAACACACACACACATTGGAATTAAATTTAACGATGATTAATCCATTTGTGAATTCGTGCATGTAAAAAGAAAGAGAGAGAGAGAGAGAGAGAGAGAGAGAGAGAGAAAGAAAGAAAGAAAGATAGAAAGATAGAAAGAGAAAAAGATAAAAGGATAGGGTTCTTCAGAATTCTTGGCGTTAACGGAACGTAGTAATTATGAAAGTTAAAGCCGAGGCTATGTCCGACCGATCACGCTATAATTTTTTCGATTTCTTTGTCCAGACATAAGATCTTTCCTTCCCCTCTCTTCGTCTAACCCTCTCATTCCTTTTCTCTGTCTTTCTGTCCCCCTCCCCCACCCCCTCCTCTCTCTCTCTCTCTCTCTCTCTCTCTCTCTTTCTCACTCTCTTGCTCTCTTTCTTTTTCTTTCTTTCTTTTCTACTCGATCCAAACAAGAGAATGTTCGCGATAGGCTAATGAAACTGCACTCTCATTAAAGTACCCAGATCAACGATACTAATTGGCTAGCTTTCGGAATACCCACCATTATCCTCAGGACGCGATATAATAATCACCGCGGAATTCGATTTGGACAGGCAGTGGTTAAAGCGTCTAGTAATTTCACGGGCGCGACCCTAGAGCGATTAATACGAATCCAACGGAAATTAGCAAGCAAGCAAGCAAGCAAGCGAGCGAGCGAGCGAGCGAGCGAGCGAGCAAGCAAGCAAGCACAGAGAAAGAAAGGGAAGAAAAGAAGCGAAAAGAAGAGAAGAAAAAAAAAGGAGAGGGGAGGGGGAGGCAAAATTAGAGCCGCAAGAAGAGATTCAGCGACCTATCGAGGAAGAAAGTTAGAACTGACTCGAATAAAATCAACCGTACGTTGGAAATGGATTGAAATCGTATGAAATATTATTTTATAAAGCGTATAAGCCAAGGATACTTTTTATCATAGTACTCGAGGAGGAACCAGTCAGTGGTTTACTCTTTTCATCGTAACAAAGTGTAGATACAGTGAAATCGGCTTGCTTTGACCAACGGATAGCTCGTTATCCGCGTCACGGGCCACTCGTAAGAGGAACTTATTGTCGGGCATCGACCGGTTCTCCCTATTTCTCTACAAGTAACAAACAAGAACGACTACGATG